GGCGGGGAGGGGGTGCAGCAGCAGCAAACAGCTCTCGTTTCAGTCGCTTCTGCTCTTCGGTCTCGCCCTGCGGCCACAGGGCTCACGTTTCTTTCTTTTCCGCTCGATTTCCTGTGAAAACGGGGGCAGGATCTCCCGACCCACTGACATAACAACCAGCGAGGAAAAGCAGTGTTTAGGAAAGGGAAAATCCCACCGCGCTGGCTCCAAACCGGGTGTTTCTGCCCGCCCCTGCCGCACGTACCCGCACCAATTCCGAGAGGGCTCTTAAAAGTGGGTAAAACCCCCCCGGTCAAGAGACCAGCACACCCGGGTTTGATGTTATCAACCTCCACGCCAGCAAACAAACGCTCCGAAAAAACGGAATCGTGTCCCGAGTTTTTCACGTCTCTGAGAGCTCCTGGGGGATGTCCCTGCCGGAGCAGTCAGCAGGCATTTCTGCAGTGGGATCCGGGTGGCACAGGTGGAAGCAGCAACACAGAAAACCTCTCAGTGCAAAAATTATATATTTTTAATTAAAAGAAATAATTTATTTTTAATTATGAAACCTCTGCCTATATCCTGCCTTTCCATCTCGCCAACACCTCATAAGGCTAACTTGTCTGCAAGGACACCTTTTGGGGTCTGGCTGGGATTTATCCTAGACTCTTAAAATATTTAACGTCTTTATCAGCGGCCTGGAAGAAAGCAAGAGTATCGCTGATAAACTGCACAGGTGACACGAGGCCTGAGGGAAGGGTAAATAATGACACGGGGAGGGCACTGGTACAGGGCGACCTGATCATCTGGCAGCCAGGGGCAAGCAAACATGCATTTCCATCAGGTCATTGATGAGCTCATTAATTTAGGAGCAAAGAGTGGAAGCTTTACTTACCTGACATAAAACCTTATCCTGGGAAGCACATCATGAAAAGGACAAATGAGTCACAGTGAATCACCAACTGTCAAGATGGGGCTGTAGCTAAAAAGACCACGTTTTTGCAACCTCAGATATATAAACAGCAAAATCACTGGGAAGTAAGAAGTTATATCAGATCTAGAGTTGCTATGGGCTGCTGAGAGAGCAGTCTAACTTTGACATGTTGATAAAGTAGAGAGAAACCGAGAAAGGGACATGAAAATCACTGAGCGATTAGAAAATCTCCATAAATGAAAAATACCACAGAGAGTCAGTGAATATAATTTATTGAATAGAGAGCTAAGGATTTGAAAGACTGTAAAATGCATGTCTTGGCAACAGGGAGCAAAAAACATCAGTAATAATTTTCTTCAGTGTACCTGCGCTCCGAAAAAACGGAATCGTGTCCCGAGTTTTTCACGTCTCTGAGAGCTCCTGGGGGATGTCCCTGCCGGAGCAGTCAGCAGGCATTTCTGCAGTGGGATCCGGGTGGCACAGGTGGAAGCAGCAACACACAAAACCTCTCAGTGCAAAAATTATATATTTTTAATTAAAAGAAATAATTTATTTTTAATTATGAAACCTCTGCCTATATCCTGCCTTTCCATCTCGCCAACACCTCATAAGGCTAACTTGTCTGCAAGGACACCTTTTGGGGTCTGGCTGGGATTTATCCTAGACTCTTAAAATATTTAACGTCTTTATCAGCGGCCTGGAAGAAAGCAAGAGTATCGCTGATAAACTGCACAGGTGACACGAGGCCTGAGGGAAGGGTAAATAATGACACGGGGAGGGCACTGGTACAGGGCGACCTGATCATCTGGCAGCCAGGGGCAAGCAAACATGCATTTCCATCAGGTCATTGATGAGCTCATTAATTTAGGAGCAAAGAGTGGAAGCTTTACTTACCTGACATAAAACCTTATCCTGGGAAGCACATCATGAAAAGGACAAATGAGTCACAGTGAATCACCAACTGTCAAGATGGGGCTGTAGCTAAAAAGACCACGTTTTTGCAACCTCAGATATATAAACAGCAAAATCACTGGGAAGTAAGAAGTTATATCAGATCTAGAGTTGCTATGGGCTGCTGAGAGAGCAGTCTAACTTTGACATGTTGATAAAGTAGAGAGAAACCGAGAAAGGGACATGAAAATCACTGAGCGATTAGAAAATCTCCATAAATGAAAAATACCACAGAGAGTCAGTGAATATAATTTATTGAATAGAGAGCTAAGGATTTGAAAGACTGTAAAATGCATGTCTTGGCAACAGGGAGCAAAAAACATCAGTAATAATTTTCTTCAGTGTACCTGGCAAAACTATTGTAAGTTCAAGCTATAAAATGTGAAAAGAAAAAAACAACACGCACAATAAAACAGCACAAACAAAGCCCTTCTATATCCTATGCCATGAGAGAAGGAGAATTTGAACCATTTACTGTAAATCATAGCGAATCTTCTAACACTGGCAAGTCTACAGGTTTTTTCCCCTAGAAGATCTAATCTCGTAAAAATGAGAATAAATTCTGGAACATTTTGAAGCCATGGCTACTTCCATTATTGAGTTAGACAACAGCAGCCTCTTCTTCTTCATAATCTGCCCTGATGCATACGATGTGTGCAGCTGCTCAAAAAAAAAGCAAAAAAAAAGCCAGAGGGAAGAGATGTCTTTTCACTTTATTTATTTAATTTCAAAGGCTGTCCACTGATTTCACCTAGATTTTTATTTTCTTTTTTTGGGAAAATACCCATCTGTATAATAAGAGAAACCCAATAAAAATGCTACAAAAGGACACACAGAGTTATTAATTGCTACCATCTATTTTTTTTTGTTTTCTCTTCTTCCCACACCACCCTAGTGTGCCTCAGCAGAACCACTGGTTGCTCAGTTTAGCTACAGAACAGGACCATTTGGAGAGCTTTTTGAAATAAAAGTTTGCTCTGCTGTGCAGAAACGGTGGCAATTTGCACATGAAAGCACGAAGGGAATAATGCTGATGGCTACACCTTAAACGCTGTTCCTGCTCTTTGCAAAACTGGAGTTTCTTGGATAGGTAGAGCTGGATCATGTGCATTTGTCAGTACCTCTAGCAGAAGTCCTTAGGCACTGATGGAGAGTTTAACATCCGAGTGCTGCAACCAAACCAAACAAACAAAACCCCAGTTTATTTTAAAAAAAAGTGTAATACAAAATTTTTGCCGTTTTAGCTCTCAAAGTCTAAGGAAGTAAGTAGACATTGTAGGAAGCGGCATTATCTGTATTAAATGAAGTTCACACAAGATGAGAAACAAGATTAGAAATGAAAAAACCTCTTCATGTATCATATTTGCTTAAGGAGTTATTGATTCAGAACTGAAAAATGTGTTCAAAAGCCTGCCTGTTTTTTTTCAATATTAGTAGCTGATTTACAGTAAGATACTGAATCTCCCAAAAAATATTAAAAAATATTTATCAAGTGTCCAAAAATATTTTCTTA